TAAAGCTCAATAAAAAAAAAAAAAAAAAGCCCAAATAAAATGTTTTGCATTACAGGTAGACTTTTGTGGAAGTGTTTTTGCTAGCTCTATATTTTTCATTGACCTTTTGCTATCAAATTTTTTACTAATGTACGCTGTCTATAAGATGCAGAGAATGGAGCCGGGTGACAGCTGGTAAGCATGCACACTTGAGTTATAGCATCATTGGTTGTCCAGAAGAAGAAGAGCAGGAGAAGATGTCAGAATACCCTCTGGAGACCTGCTATGGATTTAGTTCCACTGTAAACACTACTGTCCCATTTAAATTTGGTGTCTGTAACTGCTAGGCTGTAGACATCCCAAGCTTTGTTTATTGATCTGTGTTTCGCAGAAACTCAAGTTAATTGTCCTTCCTAGCCAAATACCATGGAGTAAGTCCAGTGGTGTAAGCAGGGAGAAGGTGATAGAATGTTTTCTCTGGGTTCTTCCCCAGATGCTCCATCTATGAAGAGTTCCTTTCTCCTCTGGGCCTCACCGGAGAGAACCAACTGGATTAGAGAGTTAGATACACTGCAACCTGAAAAAGTCTCCGCCAGGTGCTCAAGTAATGACATCCAAAACCACCGATTTTGACATCTAGGGGTTGATTTACTAACCTTATAAACACACCACGAACATGTATACACCTCTGTAGTGTGTTCCCTCCCAGCATGATCTATGGGTGGAATCTAAAAGCCCTGCATGAATTTGCAAGGTGATGTTGTGTAAATTAGCTCTATGTTGTGTTGCTTGCGTTGATGAATGCAGGAATGTAAATGCATGAGCTAACCATTTTTGTCTAAACTGTGAAGCAGCATTATATATGCATCATGTGCATGATTTTTCCATATATGGCATTATTGAAAATATGCTTTTAGAGACTTTTTGGTTGATAAATACGTTTTGCTGTGTAAAAATCACACGCACCTGGTGTGTGTGTGTGTTTAGGTTAGTAAATCACCCCCCTAGTGTCCATGCTGGCTCCACCACTGTCTTGGCAGGATCAGGAGGAAGCCGCAGCAACAAATTCAGCTCTCTGCCAATTTGCTACCCACAACCACTTCCACCTTCAGCAGAGCACAAAAGACAACTATAGATAACTGTTTGAAAAGCACTGACTTAGACAACCAGGATGCAGAAGGTTTTTTATAACCTGCCTACTCCAAGTTCCATTATGCAATGAGCTTCCCAACTTAACTCTCGTGGTAGACCATTTGCCTGTTGCCTTACTGGACTCTCTACTTGTTTAGATACACCTGTGCCCTTTCCTTTCCGCATTCCTGTTTCAGCACCTGGTAGGCTTCTGCTCCATGCACTGTATTAGAGCTGAAGCAAGCATTTCCCGTTTCCTGGGTACATTGGTACAAGGCAGGGGTAAGCAATCTTGGCACTCCAGTTGTGACATTAGAAGGTATTACAAGACTCTGACTGCCACAGGCATGACTCCCAAAGGCAGAGACATGATGGGATTTTCAGATTCACCACAGCTGGAGTGTCCGAGGTTGCCTACCCCTGGTATAAGGAGTTACTGTACTCCAGCAGGCTCTCTGCCCATCAGCTGCCAGTAGTGGGGCAAACCCAAAGACCACAACATGGAATATTGGACGACAAGAGTGAGGACTAAGTTGAATCCACACCTGGTGTTGTCCCAGCATACTGTTGGTAATACAAAGGATTTCCCAATAACTGACACATCACCTGTGTAAGTTTTGGGGTACCTGCCCTGGAGGGCCCAGGACAAATCCCCTTTTGCTTAAAACAGCCTGATCTGTGCGTCCTAATAATTTCTAGGCTTGAGGAAGAACTTTATTTCCCAGAATGTATACACAAGTTCTAAAAACTATAGAAGCTCCACAGATATGGTGGTTAAAAA